ATGATCTTTCTCACTCAATTTATTGCCTTGTTCCTAAAGTTGGGATTCTTTTTTTTAAACCTGATCACTTGGTGGATCAGTCACGATAAGATTTCAGAAAACTTCCCTTCAAATCGTTGAAAGCCCTGTATGTAGAAGGTTGTGCTGCCTTTTACAGAATAGGTTTTTGTGATCTTGAAACGCCATGGTCTTGAGATGCTCTCACTGAAGCATAGTTGGTACCCGGGACTGGCATCCTCGCCGACTCGTCGTGGCTGCTCCAGTCTTAACCGCGACCACAACTCCGGGGTGACTTGGGACGGACGCAGGGAGGGACTGGCATGTGAACATCTCCATCTGCCTCGTCGCCGGCTCAGACAAGCAGTTGGAGGTTGCCGTGAGGCTCTGGTGTTGCAAACTTTGGTGGGATCACAGACTGTTTCTTTCATTTTTGTCTGTCCCTTCAAATGGAAGGACTCGGACGTCCCAGGCATGGAGGGGTCCCCCTGCTGGCATCAGGAAAGACTTCGGCTCACAGGAGGAGAGTCCTCCCCACCGGTGGCTGTTGTCTCTACCCTCCCGGACCAGGGAGAAGGCTGACCTGTAACCAGTTCCTACTGGGTGTATTCCATTCCGCAGTGTGATCTCTCAGAAGCGTAGGACCATTTTCAGGGTGTGTTTCTGCTGATTCTGATTCTCATTCTTGGCTCAAATTGGACTTCTTTTATTTATTTATTTATTGAAGTACAGTCAGTTACAGCATGTCCATTTCTGGTGCACAGCACAATGTCCCAGTCATACATATACAGACATATATTCGTTTTCATATTCTTTTTCATTAAAGATTATTACAAGATATTGAACGTAGTTCCCTGTGCTCGACAGAAGAAACTTTTTTAAAATGTATTTTTATATATAGCGGCTAACACTTGTAAAGCTCAGACTCTCAAGTTTATCCCTTCCCACCCCCTCTCCCTGGTAACCGTAAGATCGTTTGCTGTGGTCTGCGAGACTGTTTCAAATCGGATTTTTAGAAGGTCCTCGATTTCTTCTGTTTCCTAGGAGGAAAATCATAGGCGATTTTCTGTTGGGTTCCTTCAAAAGGAGAGAGAGAACGTCAGCTCGTTGGTAAACGGTTTAGAAGGAGGCGAGTGGCGGGCCGGCTTGGGGGAACAGCGGGACCATTCTGCTGACCGCGGGGGATGGCTGAGATTGCATAGCCTTGGACTTGGACTTCCCCTGTGATGTCATGGGCTCCACTTGTGCTCAGCAACCCCGGGTCTGTGGGACAAAAGCCTTTTGTATCAGAGCTGGATCCTGGTGAGCGTGGTTTGGCGCAGATACAGAAGTGTTTCAGAAACACTGCGTCCGCGGGTGCCTGGTGGCTGTGCTCACAGGGGGTGGCCGGCAGCTGGGCTTCTCGTGGCTCCAAGGAGGGTCCCTCTGAGGGTCTGATTGCATAACACTTGTCTCCTTGGGGAATGTCTAATAGCCGTTCACAACATGGTATTGGTGCAGTGGAACGCACAGCCTTTTGAGGGCTGTGCCAAGAGCCTGTAGGTGCTGGGGCTGTTTTATAGGGAAGGGGGAGAGGGGAGAGAAAGGAAGGTTCCATCCCTGGTCCCTTGGACGGCTTGCTGCAAGGAGGAGTGTGTGGAACAGAGCTGCCCCCTGGACCTCTCTTTCCTGGAGCCAGCCCTAATGAGGGGCAGCACGAGTGAAGGGTGCAGGGGGGCTGCCCCTCCTGGGGCCCAGCTCTGCCCCCTCCTGCAGACACCATCGGGGCGACCACATCACCCTCTTTCCTGAAGACCCGCAGGAACAAGAGGGACATCGCCAGCCATGCTGAATGAACAGAGAGTCTGAAACAGAGAGCTTACTTTTATTGATTTATACTTGCCTTGTGCCTGCAAGGATTCTCATGGACAGAGATGAAAAGGCTTACTGAAAAATAAACTGAAGGCAGAGCTGGAGTGACCTCCTAAGACCTTGTTTGCAGAGGAAATCCTTTTCCTCCCTCCGTTCAACCCAAGGACAGTGGCTACGAGGAGGAGAATTCCTCACTGTGAAGTGGTTCCACGCGGAGCGTCGCCCCGGCCTTTGTGTTCTGCGTGGCGAGGATCAAGAGGAATCCTGTCTGCTGTTCCTTCTGGGCCAAGGCGCCTCTTCACTACCCTAGTAATGAGAAATAGGCCCTTTTTCTCCACTCGTTGCGTTTGTGTGGCTTTTGTATCTTCCTTCAGTCCCAGCACACCCTGGCGTGTTGGAAGGAGCCCTCTGCTTACCCGTACGGGACTGGTGTTGATAGGTGGCCCCCAGGGATCTGTAGGGAGTCCACGGACACCCGCTGCAGGTGGATTGATGCTTCTGGGAACTGACCAGCTGGTGCCTTCAGGGCAGTCCAGGCTTTGCCACCAGCTTGGATGGTACCTTCTTGGCCTTTCTGGGCTTCCTCTGATCTTTCTGGGATGTGCTTACTACCTTGTTCTCTGGGCTGTAGTCTTAGAAAATATCTTGTTCATCTTCAGCATATAAACACAGGGGACAGAAATATCAACTTAAGCTCCCTCGCGTTTTCTCTTCCGTCTGGACACTCACCTTCCTCCTGCCCTTTAAGCCCCTACGGCATGCAGAGCTTCCGTGGCCGTCCACCCATGAGCTGGGAAAGGGTTAATGGGTGGTGGTGGATGCAGGAGTTTCTGCCCAGGCCCCTTGGGATGAGGACCTGGAGACCATCCTGAAGGTCCCAAGGCAACAGGAAATGGAGCCCTGGGGAGCCGGCTGGTCTGCCATCCCTTGGTGCACGTGGGGATAAGCTACAGCTGTGGCCATACAAGGTCATAAGAAACCCGTCGCTGCTGAGCTAAGGGGAGGAGGGTGGACAGGCTATTCCTAGAGCAGAGTATTCGTCATGATCGGGAAAAAATACCCGCCGGGGAGCCAGGCCAGTCGCCCCGGGGGCTACAGCACACTATTTAAGGCATCCCTAAGGATGCCAGCAGCTCAGCGAAAGGGAGTCTTCTGACAAGGTCCCTGTGTCCCAGCCCGCGCCGGGCAATGCCGGCCAGCCCTGAGGTCCAACTGTGGGGATATTTCCAGGTGCCTGCCTTAGCACCAGTCTCCCAACCGTGTCGTCTCAGGGATGGCCACTGCTTGCTCTGGTCCCGGCTGTCACCTCCCAGCTGTGCACCTTCAGACTTCCCGGAGGTCTAGGCACTTGGACCAAGACTGTCTTGGTTCTCACTGGGGTCGTGTTGGCGCTGAGTGGGAGGAAGGGCGAAGGGTCAAGCCGGGGCCAGCTTCCCGGCCCCGCCATCAGCATCAGCACTCCACCCATCTGTTGACTGTCTTTTTGGCTTTCGCTCTGCCCACCAGTCAGCGCCGTGTTCCCTGCGCACCATCCTTCTCAGCATCATCCGTCGTAGGTTCTCAAGGATGCGGGCTGTGCCTCTGTCATTTCCTTTGTATTCACTCCATAGAATTCCATCTCTCCCACCCTCCCTCTCTCTCTCTCAGAATTACTCGTTCAACACATGTTTACTGACAGCACGCAGTGTGCCAGCCATCGTGTTGGGAGAGGAGGGGACAGCTGTTCTGAGGTGCCCCGTCTAGTGTGACAGACAGCTTTCTTGGCATTCACTTATTCGGGAAACGTATGGAGAATCTGCCATGTGGCCAGGCACAACTGAGTGGTAGACTCAAAAACCTCCTGCACCCAGGGGTGCAGAACTGAACTGGACGGTCCAGCAAATGCACAAATACATAATGACGTCCTCTCTGTCAACACTGTGGAGGAGGAGAACAGGTGCCATGCTCAAGAGGACAGTGAAACAACGAGTGAGCCCAGAACTGAAGGATGAGGTGGAGGCCCGAACTAGTGCAGACTGTAGGGAAGAGCATTCCGGGCACAGGGAACAGTAGGTGCAAAGGTCCTGAGATGGGAAAGGGCTTGAAGAAATAATAATGCTACAGTGTGACAAGTGAGTGTCAAATGAAAGAGGCTCTCAGAGGGTGGGGCCATTATATTTTAACCATTTAGTTGTTCCCCTTTGGTAATCATAAGTTTGTTTTCTGTGTCTGTTAGTCTATTGCTGGTTTGTAAATAAGTTTATATCATTTTTTTAGATTCCACATATAATTGATATCATATATTTGTCTTTCTCTGTCTGTCTTACTTCATTCAGTATGATAATTTCTGTGTTCATCCATGTTGCTACAAATGGCATGATTTTATTCTTTTTTATGGCTGAGTAGTGTTCCATTGTATAAATATACCACAACTTCCTTTCCAGTCATCTGTTGATGGACATTGAGATTGCTTCCATGTCTTGGATATTGTATGTAGTGCTGCTGTGAACATTCTCTTTTCAATCCCTATGGTATTTATTATTGGTACCTTTAATCGATAATTCCTGAGATGTCCATGCTCTCATTCGTTGTCTGAACTTCTCTCCAGTGCCTCCTGTGTGTCAGGAGTCCTCTGTACTGGGCGACAAGAAAATAGATGGACCCCGCCTACAAAATATCTGGAAAAAGGCACAAAGCAGACATTAGTCATGACTGGGTAATGCACTTTGTAATGTGAGTGCATTGAGGAGCAAGGACCCACTCCCTTTAGAGGAGCTGGGAAATGTTTCAGGTGGAGAATATAGCTTGTTAGCTGTGTTTTGAAGAATGATGTGGGGCTTGTCAGATGAGACATGAGCACAAGGCAGTGGGGAAGAACATTCCAGGCCAAGAGGAGAGCAGCGGCGAAGTTTCAGGGGCCTGATGCGCCGGGGACTCCAGCAGACGCATTTCGTGTATGAAACACCCATTCTCGGCTGGTATAAAATTGCAACATATTAATGCCGTTTTCTTCCAGCTGGGTGACAGAGTTCCTTGACATTTATCCAAGGCCCTTCACATAGCTGGCCCTTACCTTTAACCCTGGGATGGTCCCCGGTGTGCAGTTTCCAAGCCAGGGGACATGGGGACTAATGCAATCAGACGTGACTGGGTTTGTTTCTGTCTCTGCCTAGACCAAGGACGCCCTCTTCACGATTCTGCATGACCTCCGACCCCAGGATCGTTTCAATATCATTGGATTTTCCAACCGGATCAAGGTCTGGAAGGACCATTTGGTGTCGGTTACTCCCAACAACATCAGAGACGGCAAAGTCTACATTCACCACATGTCACCCACTGGAGGTAAGTGCAGGTCCCGTTTTTGCCCTTCAGCTGCGACGTGAGAAGTGAGTAGCTAATTTTCTGCCCAGAGACGTGGATTTGAAAGCCGATGCTGATCCCAGGAAAGGAGATAACAGCTGCGAGCTTTCCCAGAAGCTCACGTTTCTCCTCTTCCAGGCCCCAAATGAAGATGGTCAAGTAAGTTAGAGGGGGAGACACCTGATAGGTTTTGGAGCCTTTTCTGGTTTATCTCGAGTCCCAAACAATGAAGCTGTTCTTGTAAATTGTTTCTGGGGTTGGGGAATGAAAGCCAAGTGGATGACTCGTGTTTTGTGCATTTGAATGTGCGCATCTTAGGTTGGTCCTCTTGGCGGGCCGTGTCAGGGGAGCAGGGCATGCGCCCCAGGGGCTCTGGGGGAAGCTGAGGGTGCCCCACGCCACATTTGAAGTCACCTGCCATTGTCTCCAGTGCCCTCACCTCCTCATTCTGTGGCCTTTCCTTCTCTCTGTGACTCTTTCTCCAGATCCCTGCACCCAGTCCCCCCCCCCCGCTCTGTTCAAAGCTCTTCTCAGAAAAGGACGTAGAAACCACCCCCACTAAGGGAGCGGAGACTTGTCCGGCAAGGTGCCATCAGACACCTTCAGGAGAAGGGTGCACATGGGGGGATAGTTCTGGGCCTTTTAGCAAGTGCTTGCCGAGTTTGTAGACCGGCTGCGTGACCCGGAATCACCCTGTGAGTGCAGGTGACTTCTTTCCCTGCACGCCACTCCTGTGGAAGCCGGGAGAGTGAGCCGCAGCCGTGAGGGCGCCCCCGGCGGAGAGGGCAGCAGGGATGTGAGCAGTCCTGCTTTGTGACCCGCAGGCACGGACATCAACGGGGCCCTGCAGAGGGCCATCAGGCTGCTCAACGACCTCGTGGCCCACAACGATGTCGAGGCCCGCAGCGTGTCCCTCATCGTCTTCCTGACGGACGGGAAGCCCACCGTTGGGGAGACCCACACGCCCCAGATCCTCAACAACACCAGGGAGGCCGCCCGGGGCCAGGTCTGCATCTTCACGGTGGGCATCGGGGACGACGTGGACTTCAAGCTCCTGGAGAAGCTGTCCCTGGAGAACTGCGGGCTCACACGGCGCGTCCAGGAAGACGAGGACGCGGGCTCACAGCTCATCGGGTCCGTGCACCCTGCTTCTCGGGGTGGAGGGTTGGCTTCACCGGGGGAATGCAGGTGGGGGCCAGGACCAAGGATGTCTTGGTGCTGGACGCGATCTTAACTCCTTACGCCGGAGACATCCCGACGGCTCGTGAAACCAGGCAGATCTGGGTTCGCGTTCTGGTCCTGCCTTGTGATTTGTGCCTTGTGGCAAGATTGAGGGTGGTCCATGCCTCAGTTTACCTATCTGTAAAGTGAGGATTATGATCGGACAATAGGATTTAGGGGTTATAGCTGTCTTCTTTTAAAATTTTTTAAAATTGAAATATAGTTGATCTAAATGTCTTCTTAACATTCCAAAGAACTTCATAATACAAAGAAGTACCGCGGAGAAACTGCAGGTTCAGTTCTAGACCTCAGCAATAAACCAAATATCATGGCTCAGCGGCAGAGCACCTGCTTAGCATGCAGGAGGTCCTGGGTTCAGTCCCCGGTACCTCCATTTAAACAAACAAACAAACAAACAAAAACTTAACTACCTTGCCCCCCAAAAAATAAAATTAAAAAAAAAATCTGAAACACCACAAATATCGCAATGGAGCGAGTCACACAGATTGTTTTCCCTGTGCACGTGAAAGTTATGTTTACACCACACGTTAGTCTGTTAAGTGTTCAGTAGCATCAGACCTGAACAACGTACACGCCTTAATTTAAAATACTTCATTGCTAGAAGCTGCCAACCGTCATCTGACAACACAGGGTTACCACAAACCTTCACTGTACAAAAAAGTGCAATATGTGCAAAGCGCAGTAAAGCAGTTTATGCCCGTACTTACGCTAATTCCACGCTGTGCGCGAGGTGGAAGCAGTGTCAGCCCCATGTTGCGTACTCGTTAATGATCATGTTTTTATTTTGAAGCAAAATGGCCAGTTCCAGCTGGTCGCTGATTGTGCTGTACTTGGGGTGGAGAAGAAACTGGAACTTAAATTTTTTAACTCAGCTCGGTTCCTCCCTTCAGATATCAAGTTGCCAAATACGAGGTGTGACTTTGCTGTTCATTCGAGGAAGTGCTGCCTGTGTCAGCATTCTGTGCTTGAATCTGCTTTCCAGCATATATAATATATTCTCAAAAGGAAAAGTGATGTTTCAGTAGATTTACAGGTGTTTGTTTGATAGCCATAATCAAAGAGCATTCTCTAATGATGACTCTAACTGGGGGTCTTTAAAGGGGGGCAGTACAGATAGGTCCTTGTTGGGGGACAGCCCCTGTTCCCCACCCCCAGCATTTTTGTCAAAGCTTTAAATGAAAGCACAGATTTGCTTCCACATTTTCAAAGTTATCCAAAACCACATTCAAAGAGGGAGAATCTAACATGTGGCGTAGCAGAATCGAAATTCAATAACGTGTTCACAGCAAAGCAGTTACACTGAAGCAAATCCACTGCTCTGCTATGCCACGGAAACATGGTTAGCACCCAGCAGTCCCTGAGAACTTACGGCATGCGGGCAGGTCTGCGTGCACCATCTCACGCGACCCTCACCGATATCCTAGGGGCAGGTATATGGGGTAAAGGCTAAGCTGCCGTGCAGATGACAGACTGTCGCCTGCAGTAGTCCGGACGGATCAGGTTCTGCTCCACGAAGTCACTCGGAGACTCAGGTCCCTTCCATGTTATTGCTCTGCACCCCTTGGGGGTCGTCCTTCACTGCAAGGCTGAAATTAGGTCACTGTCACTTCTGTATTCCAGCTCCCAAAAGGGGGAAAGGAAAGAAAGCCAGACAAGCCATTTTATTTTCAGCAGGCATTACAGGCATGGCCTGTATTACTTCGACTCCCATTCCACTGGTGAGAACGTGGCCGTATGTGGCCACAGTGGCAGCTAAGGAGTGTAGTTTTTACCTGGATGGGCGTGTGCCTGGTTAAAACTCAATTATTATGGAAGAAAGGCAGCATGGGTTTGAGGGGACCACTAGCAGTCTATCAAAGTAGTTACTGTTAACTTGCCAGTTTTATAGAGGAAGGAACTGAAGTTCAGAGAGGTTAAGTCACATGTCCTAGGACACACAGCAAGGAAGTGACCGAGACGGAAGTCTAACTCCACAACCTCTGCACTTGAGATCCTTGGAAAGGAGATTTTAATGGTCTCCATGTAACATACCAGGAGAAGCGCTAAAGCCAGCAGATGCTGCATGACCAAAAGTGCCATGTCAACGTCGAGGGCAGATTTCTCAAGTGTAACGGGCTGGTTGGAGTCCACCTGGAATATGTGTTTGGTTCTAAGGAAGATGCTTTCAGAGGCCCTTTGGGAAATATAGGTGTGCACAAGGAAGGTGGCCAAGAGCGGTCAGGGGTTCTTGAAATCGTATCATAGGCAGAACAGGTACGAAACAGGGATGGATTAGGCTCCATAAAAAGGAGGCTTCCAGGAGCACACAGCAGTGTTTGTCAGACATCCAAGTGTCAGTGCTTTCAAGCATCTGGGTTTTTTGTGTGTTTTAATGGAGGTACAGGGGATTGAACCCAAGACCTCGTGGATGCTAAGCACGTGCTCCATCGTTGAGCTCTACCCTCCCCACTCAAGCATCTAAATATTGAAGAGGGATCAGACTCTTTCATTCTAGAGCTATGTTGCTCCAGAAGTAAACCGGAGACCACTGGGTGGAAATTGCAGGGAGGGAGGTTGTGAGCTCCAAGGAGCACCCCCCTCCTCCTCCTCGGAGCAGCTGACAGTCAGCGAGGAAGCTTGTGAGGTAGTGAGTTCCCCGTCACCAGTGGTGTTCAAGCTCCTGCTGCGTGGCTTCCTGTCAGGAACGTCCTGCTGGGTGGAGTGTTGAACTTGGTTGCTCCGAGGATCAGATCCACCCCTCTGACAGCCCGTCGTGTCCTCTAGGACGTGTCCTGCCTGTAGCCCAGGTGGGCCCTGATTCTCTCTCTGTCTCTCCACTCCAGATTCTATGATGAGATCAGGACCCCTCTCCTCTCGGACATCCGCGTGGATTATCCGCCCAGCTTAGTGGAGCACGCCACCAGGACCCTGTTCCCCAACTACTTCAATGGCTCAGAGATCGTCATTGCGGGGAAGCTGGCGGACAAGGGGCTGGGCCAGTTGCACGTGCAAGTGACGGCCAGCAACAGTAAGAAGTTCGTCCTACTCAAGAAGGACGTGCCCGTGGATCCTCGGAAGGTGGAGAGTGACGTCCCCGGAAGCTCCAAGCCCGAGGGTGGTGGCCAGTACCCCAACCACCTGGAGCGTCTCTGGAGCTACCTGACCCTGAAGGAGCTGCTCAGTGCCTGGCTGCAGAGCGACGGCGAGCAGGACAGGGAGCGGCTGAGGCAGAAGGTGCAGGCCCTGGCCGTGGACCACCGCTTCCTCACCCCGTTCACTGCCTTGAAGTTGAGAAAATCAGCACCGCAGACAGCGACCCTGGAGGATGCCTACGGCGTGTCCGCGGCCACAGGACCGGAGACGGTGACGCAGAGCCTGCGAGGCGCCCACCTGCAGCCAGGTAAGGGCACCCCCGGGACGGCAGAGCCTGGGGACCCACACTGCCATTCCGGCTCCTTTTCAGGCCAAGGTCATCTGCTGTATTTTACTGTATCATAATTTGTACAATTATACCTGCAGCTCCTAGTCTTCAGAGGGTGGATTAGCTGGCTGTGCCTGTATTGTTATAAACCGTGCATCTCTGCAGAGAAATTCCAGAAGGTGGCGTTCGTCTCAGAAATGTCGCCCAGGAAAGTCAGTCTGTCGATAAATCATCAATATGGAGTGCCGAAGGGGAAGGGTATAGCTCAGTGGTAGAGTGCATGTTTAGCCCACAAGGGCCTGGGTTCAATCCCCAGTACCTCCATTAAAAAAATTAAAAGAAATAAATGAACCTAATTACCTCCTCCCCCAAATAATTAAATAAATAAATAATACCCCCAAAATGTTAAAAAAAATACTGAATGCCGACCACACGCCAGACATCATTAGAGGCACAGAGATGAGCAGACAAGTAAACAGACATTTATTTTTAAGTGCCTTTCTATATTTTTAAGAACTTCAGAATTCTGTCATTGTATGGGCATACTTGATTGGATTTTCCTGAGAAAAGAAAATTCTATTATATATTCTATTTACTTATATATTTTATTAATTTTATTATAATTGGTTTTTATTATTTTATTTTTTCATGATTTTGTTTAAAGTTATATAAAATTAATAAAAATTTTATTTTATTAGAGAGATGATTATGTGGGAAGAATGAAAGTTCTGGATTCTTGACAGAATTCACCCTTTATGGATCCCACAGAAATTAAACAGAAACTTTCATCGTCCATCTTGGTGCCGAGTGTCGGGGGAAGTGCGGCAGCAAAAACAGGGAAAGGACAGGAGAAGTAATTCAGCCAAGCAGAGGATTATATTCTCAGTGATACCTGGGTGTGCAAAACAGCACATTTTTTTTATGAGTGACATTTTTATTAGACTCCTGTCAGGTTCCCATCTCCTGAGAGGAGGGAAGTGATACTAATCTGGGGCCTCATTTGTTCCTCATATTCTAAATTCGGAGAGTCCCCTGGGCGTGGTGGCGGGCAGCGCATGAGGTTAGGAACCAGGTGGAGTTTCAGGCCGCGGCTCCTCCTAACCTGCTGTGTGGCTTGGGGCAGGTTTCCGAACCTCTCTGAGCTTCTATTCCCTCTCCTGTAGAATGCAGATAATAATGTCTTCCCTGAAGGGCTGTTGCTGGTGCAAGGATTCAATAGGTAGAGTCTTTGGTCCATAATGAGTGTTCTGTACATGGTGGACCCCCCTCCCAAGCGGAGTGTAGAACTAGACATTCATTTAAAAGTTCAGACCCAGATGTAGAGGTGAAAAATGACCTGTTGCCTTTTTAGAAAGAGTGACGCTTGTCTTGGCAAAACTGGTACAAGGTGTGTTCTGATGAAAAGGATGAAAGTAACTTGCATGTCACTGTTGCTTGACAAGATCCAGGCCTCATCCAGGAAAAAGTAACAGCTTGATTCTGGGGCAGCATCTCAGCTCTCAGCAGCGTCGGGAGAGGTCAGACTCAGGTGACGTGAGACTCAGAGGCCAAGGACACCGACGGGGAGTAACCAACTGATTGCTCAAAGGAGTGGTTAGAAACAGGACTTCCCAGAAGCGTCAGTTAGGGCTCAGGACAGTCTTCCTTGTTTCAAGGTTCTGATGATTTTTTAATTTTGTGTTAGGTTTTTTTGGGGGGGGTGTATGACGGCTGCCACTCACTGAGGCTCCTCAAAGCAGCCAGCCAGCCAGACTGAGAAGTCCCTCCTCATGGTCTGCCCGACGCTGTCCGTGTCCTGGTGACCAGGGACCAGCTGGAGAAGGGGGCACTTAAAAAACGTGAAAGTACTGTGATCTTTATTTTCTGCGAGGGGCAAAAATCAGTGACAAGGAGTGTAATCCTGTTAATACGGACGGTTTGAAATAAGAAACTAATTTCCTTTTACTTACAAAAATTAATGTACTTTTTGGTTTTTCTTTAATTGAATATTTTTGCTTACTGCTTTTCCAATTGTGCTTACACACGTAGCTGTGGACCCTGGATTATGACTATCTCCTTCACGTTTTTGTTTATTTTTGTGTTTTTTTTTAAATTGCTGTGTACAGGTCTGCAGTGCAAAGTATGTTCTTTTTCATCTTATGAATCTGAGACTGTGCCCCCATTATACACCCTTACTTTTCCCCTTAGCCCCATAACTGTACCTTAAGGATGATAGAATATTTTCTCCTATTCTACATACAGAATTCACAGACAAGAAGAATATTATCTAATTTATAAAAGAATAAAATATTTAAGCCTCCTCATGTTACACCTTCACTTTGTGTTTTGGTACCAAGCTCCTCCTTTAAAACAGGGGATGTTTTCAAATTGTCACAAATGTATGTGAAAGCTGTATCTGACTCATCTCAATCCTCTGTACCTCTCACTTCCTCCTCTCTAATGAGTAACACTGGTGGTCCTCTTCCTCCCTCTTTCTAGGACCTGCTCTCCAGAAGCCATATGACCCGAGAATTCGAATCTCTAAGACATCAGGTAAAGGAAGAGAATGTGCTTGTGTGAGATTTGGGAGTTCAGATGTTTAGGAAGTGGGCAGCCAGGCACTCCCTGAAGCCAGTTAGACTATCCGCTCCCAGAACAAGATGTGAGGACCTGTGTTTCTTTAGCCCAAACCAGCAGCGAGAGGCCATTCTCCAAGCCAGGATCATCCTTAAACCGTTACATGAACACCACGGGTCACACGGTCCCGAGGAGGCTGGCAGGAGTGCTCGCAGGAGGATGGGTGGACAGCGGAGGCACACTTCCATTGTTATTTTTCTGTTCTGTGTTTTGGGGGTTTTGGGTGGGGTGGTTATTTATTTATTTATTTATTTATTTATTTATTTATTTATTTATTTTAACAGGGGTTGCTGGGGATTGCACACTAAGCACCTGCTCTACCACTGAGCTGTCCCCTCCCCTCCACTTTAATCATTTTTGAGCTGAAAAGACATTTGCTTTAGAGGTCCAAAGGGTGTGTGTTTCCAGTTTCTGGTATTACAAACATCTGTAACATGCAGGGGGTTTTCAATTATTATGTAATTATTTCCCTTCGTTTTTGGGGGGGAGTAATTCGGTTTGTTTGTTTGTTTGTTTATATTTTATTTATTTAATGGTGGTACCGGGGATTGAACCCAGGACCTCATGCATGCTAAGCATGTGCTCTACCACTGAGCCAAAGCCTCCCTCTCCCTATTTTGTTATTTTCTTCATCCTCGGCTTTC